ATTTTTGATAACAATGACTTCGAACCGTGTTAAAAACGCCAGTCAGAGAATCACCACCTGCGCTGTTATGAATGTACTTACTACAATCGACGAGTTCGTGTACCCCGTGTTCGTTTCTGCAAATACTTACATAAAAGTACTTGAATCAAAAAAACCTGCACATGTTACTATGTGACACTATGTACGGCAGCCATCTGGCCATCTCGCCCCGCTAGGGGCCGCACCTGGCTTGCTCATGCTTTCTATGCAATGCGGCACTTGGGTGCGCTTACGTCAATACATAGGTTGGAATAACTTCATTTTACCCGATTACGGAAAACTAAAAGCGGTGACGCTTTTAACCAACGGATTTGAGTGATGATACGTGTCGGCTAGTTAATAATTATTTATGAATGCAAACAAGTTAGTTCTTATTATACGAGTACGTAAATGTATACAATAATGCGGATATTGCTAATTTTGTCTAATTGGGTGTCGGTGGTTGAAACTAGGCGATTGACGAATGTAGCTTTGCCATTTTGCCATCGCTAGGAGAGGCCCTGTCGAGCAGTCAACTGCAATGTTACATTTCATTCATATCGTCTCAGCTGTCTCTCTGAGTGGAGTAAGCAGAGCCTCCACATCGACAATAATAGAATGTGCAACGTTTAACAATCCCGCCAGCATGTAACGGCCATAACCGGTATATGCAGTGTTAAAATTCTTGTCGTAATTTAAATAGCCATAAAAAATTAACAGTTCATACAACTCAACCTGTGGTTGAGTGTACTAAATAGTCGACTCTAGCTGGCTACGACCACTGCAGGGGCGGCGGAGGGCGTTCACCCTTATCAGGTATCGCTCTAATAAAAACTTGATCCCTTACAACGAGGCTGCGATCGTATAGCAATAGTTATTCCTATATGCCCTTCGTATAGCAATAGTTATTCCTATATTCCTAGTGCTGGCATGGGGCATATAGGAATAACTATTAGGGCATGACTTTTCTTTGTCGACTGAGTGCACAGTTCACTTAGACCGTTCAGTGGAATATCTCCGGGTTGAGCGTGTCCTCGTATCGGTGAGCTGACATGCGGGTTTTCTCGCGACGCGTTCGTGCGTCGCAAAAGGGAAATACGGTACGCGGCTCGTCGCCTGGCGACAGTCTTTTTTAGGGCGAGGGGACCATTCGGGTCTATTCCGCAAGCAGGATACAAATGGTACGTCGCGACGCTTTAACGTTTGTACGACCGTTTCAGCCAACCCAAAGTTCTTTCCTATAATGCTAAGAGAGATCTAATCATACCTTATCTAAAGACGCATCATGACGTCACTTCAACGCCAAGCAACGACGCGGGCGGAGGGTGCGGGGTGGGAGCGGTGCGAGGAACACGCATCCGCGTGTATATTTAGGGCGGGGCCGTTGACCCCGAAGGTCGCTACCTGCGCATGCGCCATGCGTGCGCGCACCCAGTGATGCTATCGCACTACTACATTCACAATAATCCTACGTTGTTTGATTTTGAATTCCTTCATCCCCCATACATATTGTCACAGGTATGTGAAATATACGATGGACTGTCGACTCATACCTTCACCGACAGTGTGGCAACCTTAGCGAAGCCTGCTGACCTCACAGTCAGAGGAAAGTATGATTGCTCAGGATGTTTTGGGTACTGACTACCCCCAAGACTTACACTATCGCCTAGTTTGGGACATACGGTTACATGTTAGAGACGACTCTCACACACTATCACATTTATAGGGATGTGAAACAAGCAACAAAAATGGCTGCATACAAATGTTAAACAAAAACAGACTATTTCTCGGTGTGGATGTATGTATCGAGTTCTTAGGTTTTCGCGATTGTTACGCATAGGAAATGAAACTATTTTTCCGTATTTAAATAGCGTATATTTGTTCTTTCAAACAAACCGACGTTTCGGGCCCTTTACAGTTCCCATGGTCACGGTTGACTCATCATCTATGTGCATGCGTGCTTTGCTGTTTTCAGGTGACACACGGGCCATACACTTTGCATGGTATAAGGTGCACTCTCTAACACACTAATTTTATATGGTAACCTACTAAAACTTGAGATAAGGACTCTCTTGGCAGGTTGTGTGGCTTTTAACATATACATTCATCACTTTATTATTGAGGATGCGATATTATCTATTTTTCAGTTGACAAAGTGACAAAGAGAAAAGTGAGAAAGGCTTTTGGTCTCATACACTTGTATATACAGTGACCTGTGATAGCATAGTTCAGAAGCTTCTGAATCATATAGAATATTCCTGGTTCATTCATCAGCGGAAAGCCTGTACCTTTGAGTATTATCGCATCAAGCACAGTTTCCCATTTACTGCAATAGTAAAAGAAAGCTTCATGATGAAACCTTGGAGAAGGTTTTACCAATAACTCAATGGGTATATAAACTTTGTCTTCTAAGCACGGGTGAGACCTATCAGATCATTAAAGGTGCAGGAAGATCAGAGTTCTTTTAGACAGCACTATAAAACATGTCTGTTTGATATTCCTTTTAATGGTAAGAGAGAGCTGCTTCTAAACTACCTTGCCTACCATACCTTACGATTTTCCCAGATACATCACAGCTATGAGGCACTAGTGGCCCAGGACCTCAATGTAAGGGGCAAAATCATCCCTCTGCAGGAGTCATACTGTGCATAGTGCTTTTGCCAGGTAGGGGGAAATGAGACAGCTGAGTATTTCCCTTTACTTGAATGATTCTGTTATTGTCATATAGAGTGTGCTAAGATATTAGTTTCAAAATATTTAAGAGACATTTATTTATTTTGTTTTCCCCATTACTCCAAATTTGACATTATAAGAACCACATTATTATATTTCAAGGCCTTCATACCTACTACATCATATCAATAGTAATTGGAGTAGACATGGATTTGGGGCATGGCACTAAAAATATGCACAATATTGAAAGTTTCAAGCATATGCGTATGCATTCTTATTATGTTAGTCAGCCATGACTCCACCGAGGTACTCACCAATCTCACAGATACACAAACAGATAAAAAAGCCACCGCAAGACTTGGTTCATGCCTGTGACATGATTCATACATTTTTATGGAAAGGATTAATTTTTGCTCTTTTGGGTTTGTACTTCTTACTTAGTTTATGTTAGGTTAGTGAAAAGTGAAGAAAAAGAAAGTAAAATATTTTTATGTAGTTGCAACAGTTATAAATTGGAAACCCTTTTACAACTGCAAGTTGGTACTGGGGTTCATAGCATGCAATAGGCTTGAGTAGTTCATGAACTAGGGACCGTTTGGAATGAATTCCAGACGCTGACCAAAATAAACTAGTACCTTGTGCACAATCTTAATAGTTCACCTGTCTTTTAGTTCAGTAGGAATGGGAATTGTTTGTGGAGCCACAGACGCGAGACTTAGTTCTTTCAGTTCATAGACATGAGGTGAGACAGTACGAACTAGACAGTGGACTGTCGTTGCTTTTAGTATACAAGTTCGAGTGAGACTGAAATACTTAAAACTTGCTTCACATTTCCTTTTATTTTCCATATGAAATTTAACACACACCTTGTGTTGGCATACATGTTATACATATACATATCAATAAACATATGTATATAAAATAGCAACTTCAAATACAACAGCTATATTGATACCAGAAGTATCAATTAACATAAGGGATATTTTGTCGAAAATGAGTTACGTATATCATTGGATTCGGAAGAACCCACTATCAATTGGTATTATTAAAATTTAGGAATGCACAGTGGTTTAAAATATGGCATGTCCCTTACATTAAAGAAAGATTTTTAGTTGTGCCTTAATGTACTAATATTTGATGTGTAAACTGTGGAGGATAGTGTAAGCAGTAAGAGAAATAGAAAATTATACGTAATTCTATTGTAAACCTTTAATATAATTTTCTATTTCTCTTACTGCTTACACTATCCTCCACAGTTTACACATCAAATATTAGTACATAAAGGCACAACTAAACATATTTTTTTAATGTTTTTTTTGGCAATGGACATGGACATTTAAACCACTGGGCATTCCTAAATCTTTAGTTCATAGCATGAAAGAAGAGGAAATTTTAAGAAGTTTTGCTCTAGACACAATCAAAATTTGAGCAGACAGTAAAAAGTTATAGACGGAAAAAAAAATGTTTTTTGGCTCTCCTGAAAAACCGTGGTTTGTCTCTTACATTAATTGATACTTCACTTCTGGTATCGATATAAATGTATTTTGATATAAAATTGTAACATGTAAAATAAAAATAAAAAAATTGTAAACATGCAAATCATCATTTGAAAAACCCAAAAGGTACCTACACCAAAAAGGAAAAACAATAAAACATTCCATTAATAACTATGGATTATTTAATTCCATGTCCTTCAAAGACCAAAACGGTTCCTGTTCCTTCCCAATTCCCAGATCCCATGGAACTAAGGAACTAAAAGACCAAATTAATTTGTCCGAATTAACTAAATGGGATTGCACCCTCCAAAGACCAAGCAGACACGAGTCTAGCATGTAAGTCATCAATATAAATATTTGCTATTGTCTGTACATCACTGGGTCAATAACAATATGACAGCCATTTGGTAAATAAACACAGTAGGTAAATATGATTTAGCACACGAGTGCATATGTACCTCCTGTGTCCTATTATAGTACATTACATCTGAGATGGGCTCGTGAACAACGTTGAAGCTGCAGGCGATAATATTTGAAATTTCGATTAATCGGTGACATCATTGGCCCAACACGAAAACATCATTATATAACGTAATAAATGTGTTTTAACGACGAAAAAGACCCGCCAGGGCGTCAAACGGTAACCGAGTACAGACAGATGCTAAACAGCCACAAGTAGACTGCCTCGTCGAGATCGAAAGCGAACCGTAACAAGTGAAATTTGCAGCGAAAGTTAGCGCCGTGCATCGCTATGATATCATGCTATGTATGTATAGGTGTAGCTATGTTCAAGGTTACTCATGTAAATAGTACCTGTAATTCTGCTCATAGTCCCAATACTCCTTGTATCGCGGGTGCCAGCGCGGGCCCCCGCGCGAGAAGGGCCTCCGAGACCCTCCCTGGCTCATCCTATAACGCCATAGGGCTCCGTATCGATCGCCACAAACGCACTCTCGACCCGGGCAAGGGCCACACCAGATCACAGCACTACACTAAACACTATCACTGCATACAGACGCTGCTGGGAAAGCGAATACTGTTTTTCTACGCGAGGTCCGCTAAAGAAACCCTGTCACTTGTTCACACAACTCACGACTGTAGTGATGCGAAGTTCGTTCGCTATGCACGCAAGCGCGACAACGTCACGGAACGATCGGGGCGACCTCTATTTTTTAATTTTATTCAAAAACGACCGCCAAATCGAGTAAATTTTTTACTCGCCAAGATATATATAAGCAGCTAGATTTTTTCAATGCAAAAGTGCGATTTAATTTGGGTGTTGTTCTAATTGTATGTAGTCAAGTACTTATAGCATATAGAATAATGCAATGTGGAAGGTAGAGGATTAAGGACGCAGTATTGATTTTATATTAGCGATACACGAGACGCGATAAATTTCTCACGAGCTAAGAATAAAATGTCCGCCGAACTACTGCGAAGGAGCGGGGCGTGTTATCGCACACTTAAAATGGTTCGTCACCGCTCACATAATTAATGTGAATCAGAAGGCAATCTCGCGCCGTCACGCACGGGTGCTCATCGCGTTTCACAGCCACTGCACTCTACAAAAACACTTAATCACAGTTTTTCACGACAAAAATCTAGTCTGGAACGTTGAAACCAGATGGAAAACGTGAAAAATTCCAAGATAATTTGTAACGCAAAACGCCCGTCCGGACGACTCGATACGTAAGCCTCAATAAAAAAAGTTTACACAACTCGTCGTCCTCGGTAGACCGCTAAGCGCTGCCAGCGCTGAGAAACGTAACAAACACACCATGTCGTCTGGTCTTAGACTTTTTTACCGCGCTGCAAGCGCCTTGCCGACGTAAAGCTCCACCCATTGTTATTATAATGCAGCCAACATGCCACATTAAATGCAGTGTGAAGTTAGCTACAAATAGTTTGACAAAGCGTCTGCCTCTTTCATTTCAAAAGGAGAAAAAAAGATAGAGCGAGTTCTCGATTATTTTGATGTTTTGTCGCTGTATAATCATTACTACAGTAGGCCAAACTTATAAATAATGAAATTAAACCTCTAATGGTAGTTTTCCACCGGCGAGGCGTGAAGAGACGAGAATTGAAATATCGCCGGCCCATTTCCACCAAAAATTGCTATTAAGAGCTCGCAATGGCTCGCGCGAGCCATCGCGATGTCTCGCGAGCTCGCGCTGTGACTGGGAATAGTGAAGATTCAGAACTGTTTATTTTATTTTATTTATTTCTTTTATTTCTTTATTTATATTCAGGTTACTGAGACCCATAGATACATACCTTACAGACTAACATACATAACAATATAAAATAACACTATTACTAATTTAACACGTATTTAGGTTGTCGGCGACGTGTGGCGCCATCTGGTGTCAGGCAACCGGCCACGGAATCGCCGGTATAGGACACCCTTCGGCCAGAACTCCTCCTTCATGAAGGTCGACAGATGTTCGGTCGGCACTCTCACCACAAACGAATTAAAGTTCACGTAGTGGCGGGACTCCAACCGCTCGACCCTCAGGGTGTATTTGGATTTCAACCTGATGTACTCCACTATCTCCTCAGACTTCGTGGAGTAATGCAGGCGTGACAGGTACAGCAGCGTTGTCGGGATTGCCGGACGCAGCAAAAAGTTGGACCCTGTCGGTGCAGTGCCGCACAGGTTACGGCTGGTGGGCTTCCTCTTCTTCTTCTCCACCTTTGTGAAGCCGTCATCGTCGCACCGGTCCGTCTGCCTCTGTGGTTTTGCAACTTCAGAGACAGGTACACGAGGTTTTTTCATCCCCTTCGTTGATAGCTGCCTGGCTTGTGGTTGTGGAGCAACGGGTCGGTTAACAGCTGCGACAGCGGCGTAATCACGTGGAGGGGTCAACGTGTTTACGCGTGACGTCTCCGCCGGAGCGGACAATCGAGGGGCGGGGCGCGGGGAATCGCGCTCAGCGACAGCGGTCGGTGACGCATCCATATGGGCCGACTCAAAACTGCCGATAGATGCATTATGTGCCCCGCGACGAGTATTCACGTTACAGGCCTCGAGTGACCTACTTACCGAAGTTGCACTACTCAGTAATACAACTTGGGCACGTAACTCACAGATGGTGTTATCCGAAGCCTCCAATTTACATTGAACTTCGGCCAGACTTGCTTTCAGGGATGTGATGTCCTTAAGCAGCCTAGTGACATCGACATGGTCGAACGTGACAGGGGGCAGCTTGTGCAGCTCCTTTGCCACGAAAGCAGGCACGTCGTCTGGGTCGGTTTCCTTTAACATCGTTATAATGTCCTGGATACTCTTCGTTCCTCCATCCCTCCGGCGAGATGGCATCTGCTCGGCCTTGACAAGCACACGGAAAAGCAGCGCCTTGCCACTGCAAATCTCATCTTCTTTAAAGTTTGATTTGCAGATCTGCATGATGCTGACCTCGTCCATAGTGTCGATGGCGTGTTGTATGAACGCCAGCAGTTCATTGGCTATGAGTTGTTGGGAACTCATAGTCAATTACGCGCAGCGGTCATTACCGCGCGGATCGCGAATTAATATAATTCTTACTGTGTGAGCACGTCCGAATCTGAGCGTGCATCGCACCGGTTTAGTTCATCTAGCGATAAGTTCGCGGTTGAAGAAACATATCCCGTAAATTATTATTAGATAATGTTAACTGAAGTAGAATAAGATGAAACCATTGTTTTTAAATCTCAAATCGTACGTACTACATACCCCACAATCTCGCGATTGATATTAATAGCCATTGCGAGCTCGCGTGAGAAATCATATTTCCGTTATAATGTTAAACAGTATAATGCTCTATATAGGCAGCAATACGGTTCAATATTACATTAACAAACATTTAAATTCTAGCCTCGCCCATCCTTGTCAATCCAGATCTTTTCCACTGAAGATGCGCGAGGAGAAAATTGAAATTTTGCTATAAAAATTTCTATTCTCGTCTCGCCTCATCTCTCTTCGCCTCGCCGGTGGCAAACCACCTTTATAGAGCACCTGACACATTTTTTTATGTTTTCTTTTCCATCAACATCACTGGTTCCTATTTGTTATGTAGTGATGAAGATGATTCCATTATTGCAAAAGAAACAGATATTTAAAGAATTTGAACATGAAATACGCACATAACATGTCTCACACATCATTCACAAGCTATCACGCTTTACAACTAAACTTAATTTTTTTTTGGGAAGGATTTTTGCAGTTGGTTACTGATGGCCTTGACTGCGTGACCGGAGAAAAGGGCGAGCTGAAGGCTCATAACCCCTAAAATAAACTTAAAGCTAAGTAGCGGGTCTGAGGGCGCCCAAGTGGGCACGGATGTCGGCTCAGGGGCTACTGGAGACTTCCGCCAGAAGGGCGTGCTGAAATAAAGGATCTACGACCTCGCCGGCGAGGACGGTTGGTGCGTGAGGGACGGGACTGACTAGCGATCTGGTTGGCCTTCAAAGTGGCGAGAGTGATAGGGTCGTCAGGGTCGTTGAGGACTTCCCTTGGCCGACGGGTCCTGTTTACGTGGTGGGGTTGTTCCCTGAGGGGGTCGTAAGAGGATGCAGCCACCACGAGGGGGTTGGGGTGGTGAGGAGCAGAGTCGAAGTATTTCCTCGATGCCTGTTTCATGAATTGGGCTATTGTGGGGAGCCGTAAATCTATGTGGAGGTTAGCGTCGCGCAGGTACCACGGGGCACCCGTCGCGTTCCGCATGAATCTATTTTAGAGAGCCTGCATGTGGTGTATTAGCGCGGGATTTGCCTGAGCAAAAGCGACGCTGGCGTACGTCATGATTGGGCGGATGCAGGTCGTGTACAGTCTCACCTTATAGCGAAGGGAGAGTTTGCTATGCTTGTTTTTTTGGAGAGCCGCGGAAACTAACTTGGAGCTGCGCGCCGAATAGTAGAGCGCAGTGTCGTCGGCAAAGAGGGCGAGATTTACTGCCTGATACTTCGGGATATCGCAAGTGTACGGGGTGAGGGGATGAGAGTGCGCCCTCAACTCGGTAGCGGAAATAGCGGTTCGACAAGAAGTCTCGAATGATGTGCACGAGACGATCAGGCACGTCGAGATTGTACAGCTTGTATAGTAAGCCGTTGTGCCAGACTTTGTCGAAAACTTTTACCACATCGAAGAAGAGGGCGCCGGTGGGCATGAAGCGGGGGCGATCGAAACCTTCGGAGATATATTCCACTATCCGGTGCACTTGCTGGACGCATGAGTGCCTAGCTCAATAACCAAACTGTGTGTCTAGGAGGAGATTGTGAGACACGACGTAGTTTCTGAGGCGGGCGCAGAGGATGTGCTCATAGAGTTTGCCCATGGTGTTAAGCAAGGAGATGGGACGGTAACTAGAGGATTCAGATGGAGGTTTCCCGGGCTTGTGAATACCGATGACCACCGCCTCTTTCCACTTTTGCGGAAAGATGCAGTTGGTCAGAGCGGCGTTAAAAATTGCAGTCAGGAGACAGATGAGGGGTGCAGAAAGCTGTTTAAGCACCTTGTTGGAGATACTGTTAGGGGCCATGCCCTTTATGAGCGATTCTACTTCCTTTGGGGTGACCGGGGGAAAGGAGGGTCGGAGGGCGGGAGGGTTGCTCTGAGTTCGACCTCGGAGTCCACCTGGAGGAGGTGGGTCGGGTCGACCGGCTCTAGACTGGGGGAGCACTGGGCTTCGAGGCTGTCAGCCAGGCATTCGGCCTTTTCCTCGTCGTCAAATGCTGGGGTGCGGTTGGGTCGGTTAAGGGGGGGCATTTGGGCAACTGTGCCGGACGGAGAACGGGTTAGTTGCCAGAAGGCTTGGTGGGTGGGCTCGAATTGTTCTAGGAGCTTTTCACATCGACTTTAACATACCTCGTCCATACGCATCTTTACGTCTCTCTGTAAAGCCCGCAGGAAACGACGGTTCTCGTCGGCGGGGTAAGAGTCGTAAGCACGAGCTAAACTCCATTGACAAAGTTTCAATTTGAATAACGTATGTTTCACTTATCGAAATCACTTATCACCATTGGTCGGATAAAGGTGTTCCACATACATAGATACATGTATAAATATAGCTACAAGGAGTGATATAGAGTTGTTATAACAACCAAATTTTAATTCATTACTTTTTTCGAAGTCTGGATTTCCGGAAATTGTTTTATTGCAATTGATATGTATTGTAATTGCAAATGAGAGGCAGGCTTTTTTTATATATTTTGCAGTCGGCCGCTGATGGCCTTGACTGCGCCACCGGAAAAAACGACGAGCTGAATGCTCATAGCCCCTAAAGAGAGGCAGGCGGGTCTTGCTTGGAATAGTTATAGTTCTGCTGTCCCGCTCCTACATTGGTGCCGTCCCGCTCGCACACTATAAGAGACTGCGAGCGGTACAGCAGGCCAACAACTCCCCGTAAGAGCCGGAGTCCCGCAAGGCTCTGTCCTCTCGCCCCTCCTATTCTCCCTGTACACTTGCGATATCCCGAAGTAGCTTATCACATATTGACCGCAAGAAGCGGCACAACACACAAACACACACTCTTATTTTGAATCGTTAACAATCGCTTCACCGTTTATTAATTTGTATTTTATTTATAACGCATTATTTAGTATTATTATAATATTATTTCATATTAATTATTGTTCTATGTTCTTTTAGATATTCACATTTTTTTTAAAAATCACAGCGCGTCTACAGTGACTTCACAAATTAAACATTAATTAAATTTTTATTGAATTGATATTCAATTATTTTTTGTGAAATCACTCCACTAGTTTGTTATAATTATTAATACAAAGATCGAACACTCAGAAAAAACACTCAGAAAAAATTCCTTCGATCCGGTCGAAGGAATTAAACATTATTAATTATTTTGATGTGTGCTTGTAACAATACATATAACTATGTATAGCATAAAGGAAGATTTGCCTTACTGTGTGTCTGAAAAGCTCAGTTTATTGTTTAAAAATTAAGCTTAATTCAGCTTAATAAACTTAGCTTTTCATAAGTCGTGGATTTATTATGTTTCACCTTTTACTACTTATATTCACGACGGTCAGTGCGAGAAGCTCACTACAACCCGTAAATATTAAGTACAAATTTTCAATTCTGTTCATGAAAATATTTTAGCTCAGTATCGAAGCACAATTTTTTGTTAGTAATCAGTAGCCAAATTGCATAAAATAAAACAGTTGTTCAAACTGATTCAGTTAAACTTTTGAATTAATTAGTTGATTTATAATTGGCAGCACAATTTGAGCATCACTAAACCGTCTATGGTCGGGTTAGTGACCGGTTTGTTTAGGTATTTTTTAGAAAATAGCTTGAAACGGACTATTGTTGGATATATTTTCGCGTGTTTATTTTGATTGCAAAATATCTCGAGGTGCTTCGTAGTGTGCTACCTGTGTGATGTTGACACCGCATCGCAGCATGGCGACTAGCGACTGGCGCTTATTTATTCTGTGGTTGCATGCGGTGCTGTATAGGCAGACTTAGCTCAGTTGGAAGTGCAGATGATGGTGGGAGTTGCAGTACATTATAGTGTTCGATTACTACGTCGACCATGCGTTTATTTGTTAAATTGGTATCAAAAATATTTGACTTTATATCGCTAATATCGGCAACGAAAACATAGTACCTAACTAGTTATGTAAGGAAATTAGTATTTCCTTCCTTAGTTTATTGGCGTATGTACATACCAAAATAAAATAATATTCACATGACTTCAACAAAATATGGTAAATGTAAAAACTTTAAGGAGACTGCTGGTGGACCCATCTGGTGGAATAGACCATTAGACAATTTTGAAAGGATCGGTGTTCGGCTTTAGGACGGACGACGGCGACACGGCACGGTACGATGATGGATTAAAAGTTTCCCGCATTGTTACTAGATGGCGCCACCTATAACCGAAACGGTGAGTGCAAGCGAATAATATTAATAAGGTATTGTCATTGACCTACCAACGAAGGTATTGTACGTACGTACATTTGTTCTAATAATCAAACCACAGCAAATATTTGATTAGTGTAATTCATTGCCCTGTCGCCGATGTGACCTGACACTAGTAATAGTAGGAGAAAAGCACCATAAATCGGATAGTTGCCTAATTTCGGATGGTGGACTATCTCTTTTTTTCTATAATGCCATCTATTTATTATTTCATGTTTTAATAGCCAACTATAAAATGGTAAAAAAAATCTGCTGACTACTTTTAAAATGGCAGAACAGTGAGACCATGTTTTCCAATATAAAATAATTATATTATTCTACGAAAAAGTGTTGTTTTCGTCCGGGGTAAGTACAAATTATCATTGCACATGCTATGCTTTATAAAGTCTAGCATCTATTAATACAAATGAATGTATAAATATTTTCTATTATATTTTATATTAAGTTGTAGTGAGTTTTTTTGACTTTGTGAAATCTTAATATCGGATGCATATGCGAGCTTAATATTGGATATCTGATATTAGAATACTTTTTCAAATGAGAACTTCAAAGCTTTTCAAACATGCGATTGATATATTTTTTTGTTCTACAAGAAAATCGAATGTATATAAATTATAAATAATTTATTAATGTTTTTTTGGAGAACGTTAAAGTTCCTTTAGCATCTCTAATAGACATAAGTTATTTTTTTTTAATGTTTAAGTTCCTAATTACCCAATCAAAGATTGATTACAACTATGATTATTGCTAATAAATACAAATTAACAAATTGTTTGATTACATCATTTATTATAATTATTGTTACCTAATATCGTATGCACAAAAATATTTTTGGGACCGTAAAACCGGATAGCTAGTTTTAGGCAATCTTTTGAAATTCATTGATTATGTCCTTTTTTTATAAAACGTACTGTAGCTTAAAATATGTAATTAGAATATGAAGAATTTAAATTATTTCTAATAGATCTTAAAATAAAGACTATTTTAAGGTTATATTGTTCAAAATACTCATATTGTGACTAATAACGCTATTCCTAATATCTTTAAAATATAGAACACGTTCAGAACTTCAAAGCACTCTGCACATAATGATTGCTTGCTGTACAACGCACATGCGCCGGTTTCGTAGTCCCTCGTATCCGTAGGTGCTGGCCCCTGGTATCCTTTAAGGTAGTTCAACTATTCTATTTCATTACAGTTAAAGTGATGTCGGTGGGGCGGTGAGTAATGACGATTTGCATGACCAAAAATGAACGCCTGTTTTAAATTACGAGCAATGCGCCGATGTAGACTAATTACAACTGTATCTTGCGAAGGCGAACACTGGACAATATTAATAGAAAATATTTGTGCTCTCTTACGTTTCATGTTTTTTTAAAGTAATATGATATTGATCACAGATATTTGTGCAGCAAGTTATTTATGCGAAAACTAATTATAATAATATTGTTAAAATAATAGTTACCTATAGTATTGATTTGAGGTAACTGACAAATTGTAGTTTTTAAATTAATTAAAAATTCTCACAAGAAATTATGGTATATTTTATTACATTGAACTATGATTGTTTTTTTTGACGATGACGATCATTTGACGATGCATCTTATCTATGATTATTATCGATGAGTCTTATCATTAATATTTTCTTGCAGTCGGTGACTTTTCACTAATTTATACTTCATCATCATCATATCAGCCGGCAGACGTCCACTACTGAACATAGGCCTCCCCCAAAGATTGCCAGACTAGGCGGTCGGACGCGACGTGCATCCATCGGTTACCCGCTGCCCTTACCAGGTCATCCGTACATCTAGTAGGGGACCGTCCCCCTGACCGCCTTTCGGTTCGTGATCTCTATTCAAGAACCTTTCTGCCCTAACGGCTTTCAGTTCTACGAGCAATGTGCCCTGCGCACTGCCACTTCAACTTGCTAATCCTTTGAGCTACGTTGGTGACTTTCGTTCTTCTACGGATCTCCTCATTTCTGATTCGATCACGCAGAGAAGCGCCGAGTATTCCTCGTTCCATAGTTCGTTGAGTGACTGAGCTTTTTTATGAGGCCTATAGTAAGTGACCACGTCTCAGAGCTGTAGGTCGTCGCTGGCTACACGCACTGCTCGAAGACTTTTGTCTTCAAGGACTGCGGTGTTGCGGGCGAGAAGACGTCCCGGAGCTTCCCGAAAGCTATTGCCCAACCGAGTCCGATTCGACTCGAAGTTGGCTCTGCCTATTTGAACGGTTTGTCCGAGGTGGACATACTCGTCAATAACTTCGAAAGTAAAGGTTCCCACTGTTCTAGCGGTGGGTACAACATGGACATTCGACATGAGTTTCGTCTTGTTGATGTCCATTTTTAGATCCACCTGCTGGGAAACTTTATTGATGTCACCGAGCATGGTGCCAAGCTCTTCCAACGATTCTGCTATGGCCACGATATCGTCAGCAAATCGGAGGTGAGTGATGTACTCGCCATTATAGGATTACAATACTGGTATATACTTTAAATATTATTGTTCATTAAATTGTACAAAATGCATAAAATGCCTGAACTTATTATACAATAATTGGATTGAAAATAACTGTATTGCATTTTTCCGTTGCATCATGTTTAAAGCATACTCACCCTTACTCCGAGACAATGGCACCACCACCACATGGCATGGCATCGCCACCACAAAGTTGTAATTGCTTGAAAAACTTTACAATCAGGTGAGATGGTCGTCCAGCGCGTGTCTATTTTATATAAAAATAAAAATACCTAATATTGTAAAGCTATTACGAAAGTCACCAGAAAGAGATTATGAAACAATTTACTGGCACTAAGAATCATGTGGTGCACCCGCCGTGAAAAGAGTCCAAATCACTGTACTTATTGCGTTTTCCAGGCTAGTTGTAGTAGTACAATAATGTTAAGATCATTCGCATGGGATAACCACTTGCAAGATAGACGACCAATAAGTTTGTTAATGAAAACTATGAAAAGCAGCGGTCGAAGATACGAGCCCTGAGGAACTCCTGCTATTACTGGCGAGGAGAAATCGCCACTCATTGCAAGAAGCTGGCTTCTATTGAAAATATACGGTGTTACGCAGAGTAGCAAGTATCCAAGTGTTAAAAAAGTACATAATCAGTTACACAGAATAGAGTGGTTTACTTTTTCGATTGCCTTAGAAAAATCAGTGAAGAACATCAGGCTTATTTTTTGTTTCACTAAAAAACAAACGAATGCGGCGACAACATATATTTATATAAAATGTAGGTACATAGTTTTAATTTCGATTTCAAAATGTGATTAAAAATAAAAATATTTCCAAGTACATGTATTATATATAAATCGTATTGAATTACAAAACCAGAAACACATCTTCGTTACAAATCAACTTTAAATTTTTATTCCCTCCCCGCGGAAATAAAAATAAATAAAATCAAAGTGCCTTTGTTACTAGTTTGAGAATACCGCGAGTGGAAAGTGTGTACAATACCAAAACCAAGTTTAATAATGATGGTTTTGAATTTATATAATACGAATTATAAATAAAAGCAAAGTAGATAGAGCTTAATTTTACTTAATATAATATTGCAGGGGTGGCGAAGGCGTTTAGTTAACATACGTTTAGTTATATGACATGACGCACCTCTCTGCGAATGTCTTATGCGCAGTTATGGTAGGGATAGCGCTTTGGCGTTGGCACGAAGCTCGCCGGTCAGACTTACAGCCGTGAACAGAAACATGTGGGGAGTCCGATGACGCAGATGCACAAGTCTTGTGAAAACATGAGTTTAGTTTCCGGCAGGTAGAGCCAGGAGGTTGTTCCCAAGTCAGGCTGCTGTCCGCGACATATCACACTCGCCTTGATTACATATTTATTTGTATCTCAGCTGCAACCACTGAAGATGATGGCAGCATCGTCTGCGTGGCTAATAATAAAGTAGTCTATAACTGAATTAAAAAATACTTCCTGATATACTTATATCGTGCACGGCCTAACGTAGAGTTATATAAAACCAAAAACTAAAAGCTACATCAAATACAAAAACGACAATGAAAGCAGATAAGTTGACAAGAGAAAGAATATAAAAAAATAACATTTAGTGGGAAACAACAAGCATCCAAATTTCCTAAAGTAAGGATTACGCGTATCCTGCTTTACGCATCACGGAACATAATGACTTTTATTGGAGATGTTACTCTGAAAGTAACCAGTATAATTGTCTAGTTTCATTTTCTATGTAAAACATATAAGGCAATGTGTTTGTTCTGGTTTTTTAAATTTTGGATTATATCCCAAATTAATGTATTTGCCACACGCACAAAAAAAGAAACACAAAACATACAAATGAAAAGTCTTATAAATAGATTGTGAACTAAAACAAAATGCTATAACTATGGTTACAAACGGTGTAGAAATCGTTACAAATGTGGTTAAAAATGAGGGTTCTTAATTCAGTAAGTGCTGTGCAGGCTTAGTTTGCACATCACTGATTTTCAAAGAGACCTCTCTGGCAGGAGATGCGATCTCATGGTGGGACTGTACCAGATCATGTAATGAAATACATTAGACCAGACCATTAATTAAGATATTTGTGAGGAGCGAAACAATACAAATAATAACATACTTAATATAAACCTGATTTAAGACAGAAAAGTATATTTCTTTAGTCGTAAGAAGCGCGATAAAAAGCAGAAAAGAATACAAAAAGTTTAAAGGACAAAAAACGAACATTTAATACGAATACAAGTCCGCACACGTATAAAATAGAATTATTTTGATGACCTATACTGGTGATGATGGAATGATTAAGCATCTTCTTCTGAATAATTAAAAATATTTTCCTTCAATTATTCGATGCACTAATAAGTGTGTATGTGTAAGACTTCGATTACTATACGTACACATTGGTACTTCCGTCCATAATATTGTGTTAATTTATTTTATTCATATACGTGGCGCTTCGCTGCAACAGCTTTCGTATGTACTAAATCAATTGCGAATATAACTTAACAGCTACATGATCGAAGGCTACATAGGTATTGGAAAACGTCTTATAGCGATAGCAAATGATCTCGTAAACGTATGGCCAATATTGAGTGGATGATTTTCATAATTAAATTAATGTTATATTTTTACCACTTTGTTATTTTTAACCAACTTCAAAAAAGCAGAAGGTTCTTTGTTCGACTGTATGTATTTTTTATGTATGTTTACCGATTTCTCCGTCAGTTGAAGACCGATTTTGAAAATTCTTTTTGTTTGTAAGGGCCCCGGCATGCTTTCGACGGGGCCCCGTTGTCACCAAGTCAGAATATGATGAGGAGATACCGTGGAAATCGAGGGAAATCCTCAAATTTAATAGGCATAGGCAAGATTTTGTACATGATACTTCATTTTTAACCGACTTCAAAAAAGGTAGAGGTTTTCTTTGTTGGATATTTTTTGGGTGTATGTTAACGCGATTACTCCGCCATTTCTTAACCGATTTCTATGATTGTTGTTGGAAAGGAGCGGTCAGCATCAGCAGCGGTCCCGATCAAATTTGAAAAAAATATTCCATCTCTAAGGGTGGCACATGAAGGGGTGAATGCGGTTCATTGGATTTTCCCCACTTTCCGTTAACCGATTTCAATAAAACTGGGCAAATAGATGTAACGAACACAGCGAAAGCGGATAAGCAAACTTTTGAGGTCGTTTTCTTTCATCAAAAACTTATTATAATAGTACATATTAGACAGAAAGCGCCACGCCCACTTATGGATTAGTATCTTCTGCCTTTACCGATTATACATGACCGTAGCTATTATCGATGTGACATCTTCTGTTCTATTAAAATTGATGACAATGGCTTTAGCTTTATTCACGGGATCAATGTAAGTAATCATTGTGCAACTGCCATCTTGACTTAGCATTGAATTTGTTTTGTTTGTAGGAATGCCAACAATTTCTTCGGCCAAGCGGAAATACTCCTCCGGAGTCAGTTCCCCTCTAAAAGTGAAGTCGTCTTTGTGCTTCAAGTAATGGTAAGTGGCAACATTGTCACTGCCGAATGCAGGCTTACAATTCTGATTCAGTGGACTGACCTTGCTCTTGAGATCTTGAAATCGTTCATTCAGTTCTGCATGTCCGGTTTCAGCATTATCTCCCCTATATGTGTTCAATGCCTTTTCTTTAAAGAATTGTTTCCTTTTTCCTACTATTCCATAATCTCGGTCAAACGTTGCTTGATTGAAGTTCGGTCTCGCCTTTGCCGCATTCAAATCGTTTTCATACCGTAAATTATAATTCTTCACAGTTTCGTTTAAATCGGCGACAAAATGTTCGGCATAGAGTATAAAGTCTTTTGTGGTAGTACAGCCCCTTGATTCTGCGAATATGGTTGCCATATCGACAATTTCTTTGTTGTTTTGAGCAGTTTGTTCAAGAACAACACGCAAGCGATCAACGTCATGAGGCGTAGCAGTGGTGAATATTTTTCGTCCCCCAACTTTGATGTCAGACACTTTGCTAGTTCCATATAATTCGCACAGCTTTGCCATGGTTTCCTTACGCATACTTTCGAAGGAGATCCGGTGATTGCTACAAATTTTTCTCATTTCACTATGAAACTTTGCTGTTAAGCTGATTGGGATGCGATGCGGCATTTCTTTGCATCTTATCCCTGGCGGCAGCTGTGCTTCTCTTCTGACGATCCGACGTGCTGCGCGTCTGCCGTCTCTGAGGTGATTATTCGGGCTATGGAATACTTTATTCCGTATTTCGAAGTCTCCTCCAGCGGCAAAGCTCGCCCTTGGTTTAACGCTGAGTGTGTTTCTGCGGAAATGCTAAAGCAATCTGCGTACCAGGCTTGGGCTGATGCTCGAGATCGCAAAGCACCGGAAACCCTCCGTCTGAAGAAAGACTTTAATAAAGCCGCTAGATCCTGCAAAAAAGCGATACGGAAAGCTCGCTTCGGCCATATTAGTCGTATTGGGGTCAGGTTAGCTTCATACCCATCAGGGAGTAAAGCATTCTGGTCACTCGCTAAATCGGTCGAAGCGAATTTCTGCAGGTCATCCCTTCCGCCTTTAATGAGAGATGACGGATCGCTGGCTCATACCGCTGAAGAGAAAGCAAATCTTTTTGTTTCTCTTTTTGCTTCCAACTCCCGTCTTGACGCTACTTTGCAAACACCACCTACACTACCTCGATGTGACTCGGAAATGCCCGAAATCACTATCCGTCAAAAAGAGGTGTTGAAAGCTTTACGCAAATTAGACGTCAACAAAGCCAGTGGCCCTGACGGAGTCCCAGCGATTGTCCTGCGGAACTGTGCACCCGAGTTGTCTCCGGTGTTGACTCGCCTGTATCGCCTCTCTATGAGTTCTGGACAAGTCCCGAAATCCTGGAAGCTTGCAAATGTACAGCCTGTACCTAAGAAAGGTAGTCATGCCGACCCATCTAATTATCGACCTATCGCAATCACCTCCATACTCTGTAAGACTATGGAGCGCGTATTGAACAGCCGTCTCCTTGGATACCTCGAAGATAACGATCTCCTCAGTGATCGACAATATGGTTTTCGCCGTGAACGATCTACTGGGGATCTTCTTGCGTACGCCACACATTTATGGAGCGAGGTTGTCGAGAAACGCGGTGAATCGCTTGCCGTGTCTCTCGACATATCAAAGGCCTTTGATAGGGTTTGGCATGATAGCCTGTTAAACAAGCTTCCAGCTTACGGAATTCCTGTTGGCTTTTGCACATGGATAGGCGATTTTCTGAAGGATAGGTCAATCCGTGTAGTTGTAGATGGTTACTCGTCTGCTCCTCATGGTATAAATGCCGGTGTACCTCAGGGATCTGTCCTCTCCGCCACTCTATTCTTGCTGCATATAAGAATAAGAATAAGAATAAGAGACAATAGTGAAGAGATCCGGTGTAAGCGAGAGGCGATGGTCACCCGGTTGAACCTGAGTCTGAAAGTTGCTTCCGACTGGGGAAATGCTAACAGGGTCAGGTTTAATGCGGCTAAAACACAGGCGTGTCTTTTCTCATCAAAACGGAGTCCCCTACACCTTACTCCGACTTTCCGAGGTGTATCCGTGCCGATAAGGGACCACCTTGAGCTACTTGGTCTGGACTTAACATCCAACCTCAACTTTGGGCGATACATCGAGTGCTTGGCAAAAACTGCTGCCAGAAAACTAGGCATACTTTTCAAGGTCAGGCGGTACTTCACACCTGAACAGCTTTTAAATCTATATAAAGCACAAGTTCGATCCTGTATGGAGTACTGCTGCCACCTTTGGGACGGCTCTGCCCAATACCAGTTAGCTGCCTTGGACACGGTGGAGCGTAAAGCAAAGAGACTTATTAACAATAATCCTCTTGTGGAGTCGAAGCTCCAAAATCTCGATCATCGCAGAAAAGTAGCCTGCTTGTCGGTTTTCTATCGGATACATTTCGGGGAGTGTGCGCAGGAACTTTTCAATTTGGTTCCGCCCTCACCGTTCCTCCTTCGGTCGACTAGAAGGTCCGGAGCACTCCATTCTTATGTCGTTGATATTCCACCTATTCGCACTAAGCGCTTTGCTTCCTCCTTTCTGATGCGTACGGCAAAGGAATGGAATGCTCTACCGGCTCTATCTGTATTTCCCGAAAAGTACAATTTGGGGCTATTCAAGGCTAGAGTGAATATGCATTTTTTAGGCAAACGCGTCCCATCGTCGGTCACATCGTCGCTTAACATCAGGTGAGATTGTGGCCAAGCGTGTGTCTATTATATATATATAAAAAAAAACTGATCCAGAGACAGTTGTTTATTAGCGAGTCTGGTAGTTGCATCAAAGATGACGTCACGGGTAGCAGCTGGAATTTCCAATAACTTGAGCGGATGAACCTTAAGATTTTGGTTAACTTCCAACATGCCTTTGAATCCCTCGGGTGTCAGTTTGACCTGGAATAAGATACTTTAATTGCACTAGTGAACGACATATGTTAATTATGTTTAATGACACTATTATGCATATAAGTATAAATAACGTTGCATGGCCTGTCAACCCTATGTCTCAGGATTTTGGGCGAAATTCTATGAAATATCTTTGCAAAGTGGGCCATGTTCACAAATATACCTACCTACTTATGCCATCACGTAGTATACGTAATAGGTATAACACATAAAATTTATATCTATCTAAGTTTACCGCCCAAAATTGGCTTCAAATATCACATTACAAACAGGGTTACCTTGTAATTTTTAACATTTTTGTCCACTGTTGCGAACGCAACAATTTTTGTAATTTTAACATAATTTCCAAAGCAGTAACAAAACGCTGCTCGTCAAGGGCACATTACGTAGGCCTATTTTGAACCAATTGAGTAACACCACATATGTCTTTTCATCCCTACCACATTTGTAACGAATTTTGTACGTAACTAAAAAGGTCAAAAGGACCGTTCACTTTTAAAACTGTACCCCTTCAGAAACTATCACTGTATCGATTTAACGGCACTACTCCTGTAACTAACCAGTCACCTATTTAAATATAACACAGTCAACTAAAATCGTCTTTGATTTTACGAGTCGTCGAGCTCCTGATCGTCATCTACTTTGGGTCTGGCGGCTACATCCACCATCATCTCGTACAGGTCCTTTGAATTTTCTATTCGATTCAACTGCTTCACAACTTTTGCGTTTCCATGCATTTCACGAGGGCCGCGAAGTCTGTCAGTTTGCTTGTTAAACAATATTTTAGCTTCAGGAGAAAGGCCTTCTCGATGGGAATTAATAACATCATGTTGCACTTCTTTGATGATGGTGCTAGCTGTTTTCATATTAATAGCAGCATTGGTAAAGAACAAGACAGATGCGCTAAATTGAAACACATCCAAGGGAGTAAGTTCATTGCGATCATTTTTATCGATGAGATTAGCAAGGCCATGAACAATCCCAATACCGTTAACTGTAAGGCTTCCCGTTTGAATTGCCAAAATTGCGATGCGACCAGCTTTTCCCATTACCTCACCAGCTCTGGCGGCATTCTTCATAGATGAAATCATTCGCCCCTGAGCAAATCCAAGACTTGAGCCAATAATTGCCAACCAACATCCCCGAGCATCGGCGTCGTCCAAGCCTATATTTTGGCCGTGTGTAGCACGGTCGTATAAAGCGTGGCTACTACGTGCTACCCCGTAAACCCCTGTCGATACACTACCCACAGCTGTTGCAGCCATTAAAGGCCCAGCAATAGGTACAGTGCAGAGAGCAGCTACTCCGACAACGGTAGCACCTACCGTCACCACTGTAGAAACGGTATCGAAGATACCAAACACTCGGTTGACGAAATCGCAAGCGGGTGAGGTACCAAATGATACGCAAACTTCATTTTCACTGTTGCGCTCGTATTTTCCACGTGTTGGGTAGCAATAAACACATTTTGGTAAGTTGTTTGCCTGAAGATAGTCATCCTTCCAAGAACTGTATTTGCGAGCGTTACCATCAACATAGTTGCACCCGTTGCTATTCTTACAATCGCGCTTAGCTTTAAATACTGGAACTGTGAAACGGTAATTCCATATCTTTCCTACAACAAAGATGCAAGCAAACAGGATATTTTGGTTTTTAAAATTTAGACCATCGACCAATTGGTCACATATTGTCTCAATCTGCTCTAACTGCTCTTTCTTGTATCCTGTTTGACGATTGTCAGAACTGGGTTCAGTATGCGGAGGACCATACAACCCGAATCCAACTTTTTTTCGAAAAATGGTCCATTCCCACGCCTCTATGACATCCCATTCCCGATCGCCCAGCAGATCCTCATACTCTTGTTGGGTTGCTTTTGCTTGTTTCTTAAATTCTTTGATATCATTAGAATTCCAGTTAACCATGTTAAAATTATTTAAGTATTATAATACTTAGACAGAGAACCACCAATGTGTAGAGGGAAGTTTGCCTATTTCTTCTTCAAAACTTTGACTTCTTACACCGTCTTCTATGTACGGGTCGAATACAGAGCTCTTAAGGTGTTCGTCTAGGCTTTCAATGTCTTCACGATCAACAAATTCTTTCAAAACGTTTTCCAAAGTCTGTGATTCGTCTTCAGCACTAGCAGGAAAATCTTTGAAGTCGTCCAGCAGAAACTGAAGACCTGACCTTTCAATTCGGCTGGAGTCTACACTTACTGAACCAAAACTGTTGTCAAGGGTAAACACCCTGTAGCCCAATGCCTGGAGCGCCGGTGGTATTAAAGGACCTATGGTTTTCTTCTCCTCAGGCGTGTAATCTATTCCTGAGACTCCTGCTTTGTATATCGAGAACAGGAAATTTTCAGCAGCTGATGAAGTCTTCGCAATGTTAGCGCTGTTATTGAATGAAGACTTGGCTAAGACTTTTAAGTCTTGTACTATAGCAGACAACAACTTTTCGCGGTTCGTCATTCTGAAAAAAAAAGAAATGTGTTTGAGTTTCATTTATTGGACAAAAGTGAGCAATGCTTATGGTCTGATACTTTCATTGCAGTGATCATCAGGGTCGCTTCAAATTGCCGCACCTGGAGACGGATACATTAAAACGAGCAATGCAACATAAACCTTACCATTTACAAGATAAGGCTACATTTCTTTAAACGAAAATTTAAGAACAAGATGCAGCAAGCGGCGCCGGGCGGTTTCGAGCTGCGAATATACTATAGAATACGCACCTACTTTACTAAATAAAGTATACACTCTTTGAATGCAAAATGACAAAAGAGCCACCCGACGCCGCCCGGAGCATTCTATCGTCGCCACTTAGGTAACTATTATAACTTGATATCTCAACAACAAGGTATATTTCTCTGAAAGCTGGGCAGCTTCTGAGCAACTTCGGGCTGCGCAGCACGAATTTTAGAGGTATACAATGTAGGAGTCTCTTGTCTTCCACAGCTTTGTTTTCCATTCAAATAAAAATGATTAATTGTAATCAGTAGAAACAAGTTCTCTTACATTCGCGAACTTTAGAGAGAGTAGCAAATTTTACTTTGACCGCAGCACGTAGACGTTTATTATTTATCCGCAAAAAGTAAAACATATATGTTAGTTTTCTCCCTGGCAGTGCAAGCAACTCATCCATCGGACTACAACAGTGATGGTAATGAAATGACGATAAGGTTGATAGTCCACAAGTGGATATAGGCATCTCCCAATGTGCGCGATTTCGCCCGCTTCTTAGCTTGTCGCATCCATCGTAACAAGTTATTCAAAGTTTATTTAATGTATGAAAGTCATGACATGTTACGCCATTCCATTCATTTTGTTTTAAGAAGCCGAGTAGATACTTCAATAGCAAACATATAAAAGCGCCCGAATATGCGACTTGTACTTTGTTGTAACTGTCTATCAAAGGACTACAAAGGACCGACATTTTGCATATCGCCTCGTGTCGCGTCTCAAACTAACACAGGGGAATACCCGGAGGTTCAATTGGTATTGCAGACTAAGGCGACGGCGATGTGGTAGGAATTTAAATGACACTTTTTACGATGGAATACGTGAGTGGCTCCTGATCAACATGTAACAATAGTTGATCAAGGGCGACTTATATTCATGACAGGCCTCAATCACGAGCGTGGGGATGATTCAAACCTGATTGATGTTTCGGTTACGCGGCACTTATTAAACAAGATTTTAATAATGTGTCGAACCGCTAAACCGATTGCCTGGATTCAAACTAGAAAATTCAGTACTAGAGCAACGGAATCCACTGCGGTGCACTAAAATACCTGGAACACCCACACAAGAACAAATTTAGAACAATTCGTTTCCCATACTGGTCCTACCGGGAATCGAACCCGGGACCTCCTCATCCAGCGCCCGCCCGTGGGAACCGTTGGGTTATTAAAATGTACAGTATTTTCAAAAAGTATACGGCATCAATATAAACGTCTTTACTGAAACAATGTAAATATTAACTGCCTCCGCGGCCGAACGGTTACCATCCTGGACTGCAGGCAGAGGTCCCGGCCTCGATTCGCGGGATGGCAGAAATATTTATATGGACTACATTTATTTCTCTCGTGAGTTTGGGTGTAATTTGTGGTTGTCTATGTGTGTGTCCATGGCACCCGCGGTACAGGGTTTCCTTAGTGCGGAGCTACAAGTGTTATTATTAATAATATCATTAATGTGTAATTATTATTATTATTTATATCCAATTTCATTTAACAAATTGTTATTGGAAAAATGAATCATTATACATTCCACGAAAAAAATTAAACAAGATTGTCACTTTTCATACAATTTCTAGAAGCTGCAGCGCTGCTGCAGCGCGGCTAACAGTGGCTAATTTGAACGCGCCCTAAGAGTTTCCGTCGCGGCGGAATGGTTACCCAAAGGGGAGTTGAACATTTGAGACATCTTTCTCTTAGTCTGGTCGTATCTAAGAGCTTTTGAATGGATTCAAACGCGTGCAAACATCGCGTTGCAAGCAAGAAGCTTTTCGATGCCTTACTTTCTCAAACTCGAATCTTATAAAGAGTGATTATTCAGGAGATGGCAACACTTTCTATTCGTTTTAAATTTCGTATCGAGGGTGTTAATTTGGGCGCATCACTTTAGGAATAGGCAAAAGCCAGCGCGTGAATATGAGGGAAACGTGATGTGAACTCGGCCTGCACAATTTGTATGTACTCGTACAGACCATTTTTTGCACTTCAGTAACTTTGCGCTTTAAGATACGAGTTTGAGAAAGTAAGGCGACGTCATGTAGAATATCATGTAGTTGCTTCATTTCATAAATTAACTGAAATTAACAAACGAAACTAAATTTAAAACTATCTCTTATCAAAATGCGCGATGCGCGAACAGTGCTCTGGGTCATTCATAATTTGAACCTACTGCCACCTACCTTGTATGCATCTAGTTCTGCTTTCTTATTTGGCATAGCTAGTTACCTATCGCTAGTAAAGGGTATTGTTCACACTAGCGGTTGCACCCAGAGCCGATCCCTATTTAGAACGGCGCGCGGCGTATGGGACCTACGTAACGTGTTGTCAGGGGAGTGTCTGTTTTTCGCTCCGCACTTATAAAAATTGCCAAATTTCATCATCCCAGGTAAGCATTAAAATGCATAGATACCACATTGTATTTACAACTGGCTCGTGTCGCCATATCCATTTTTTGGGTGTTACGCATGAAATTACAATAAAAATAGAAAATTTTTTTTCCAATTCGATGTTATACAATTTCTACTGATGGATATGCCATACACCTTTAACACTTTCTTGTTTACTTACATTACTTTTTAACTTATATACTTTATTACATTAATTTATGTATTTTTTCAGACTGATTATAATTATAACGGCTCCCATTTGACATACGGAATACTTACGGGCCCCTATTTCCCGAACTGTGAGAGCGAATGACATGTTTAAGTTTTTTCTTTTTAACCAAATATTATATTTTAGTCCATATTTTTTCTGTGATTATGTAGTCCCCAGATATGAGCGTACGCTCATAACTAATAAAAATATAAATTGCATTAATTATAAGTTTTATTATCAATTTTCCTTAGTGGGCTCCCATTCCCCCACGCTCCCCTACTACACATAGTATTATTACAAAATTGCGTCATGTGTTATGTTCCGGATGATTTTGGTGCCATTGCTATTGCAAGAAATTTAGGACCTTTTTGTTGACACGACGTCATCATCGTGTTGTCCTGTCGCTATAAAAATATATGTACATAAGAAATAGGACGTCAAGTATAATATAACGCAATTTTTTAGACGAAATATAGGTACTTAATATAACGGGATAATACTATGTTAGTTGTCATGTGCGGTAGGTTGTTGTGAAGATGTGATCAAGAAAAAAAAAAATTAAAGATATATTAGAATATTACATTATATATTCAAAGTCTTCATTGTGTTTTCATAATGTAAGAGAAATGAAAAACTGTACATTTTAAGGTGAACAGTTCATATGAATGTATACGATAAGTGCCGCTGCAACTTTGACCTTATATCGTAGCACTGAGAATAGAATAGAACCGAATAGAATTCATTTATTGTGTGAATGTGGTGAACATTAAGGTCTTATGAACATAATTACAGTCCTCACAATCCACCTGCGACAGGCGTACGAGTACAGTGTTTAAAGTACAAATTAGTTATGAGATTAAAGTAAACTTGTACATAAAGCATATTAATTTAATTTAATTAATATTTATTCACATTGCTTGTAATAAAAAAAATCATTTGAACTGCAAAAACTTTTTTAATTAGCCACAACTTTAAAGTTTTGTCAAAAGTCGTGCTATCTAACATTTTTATGTCATTTGGCAAGTAATTATACACACGAATGGCCGTATATCTGAGGTAGTTATTAGTTGCAGTAAGTGAAGCCGCGGTCGTGGATTAAGAACAGTTCCTATTACAGTTGCAAGCCACCAGAGAGGTCCGACCGAAACTTGCTACTCGAATGATACAATGTGTCAGCATTCCTAAAATATCTTTATAATATTGTAGGTACATTAATATTAGTAATTTGTTTGCGTAAATTCGAGTATTTTGCTATACAGTAATATTGCACGCGATAGCAAATAGCAAAATACAGGATTCAATTAGATTCGGCACCCGAAGTTGTGATTATTATACCGTGTGATGTTTCGCGATTGTGCTAGCATTTATAAAGTATCTTTGTAATATTGTACATAAATAGAAGTAACTTATTTGTGTAAATTTGTGTATTTTGCTATACAGTAATTGTACTGTTTAGCAAAATACATAATAAAATAAGATTAGGAAACGGAAGTTGTGATTATTACCTATATGCGGGCTGTTTCTCGCTTGGTGTTTCTTGATTGAAGCACGAGCTCCACACAGCTTATTACTAAAAATTCTACGGTGAAGACTGTAATCATTATATTGTGTTCGTAATCATTAAAATCAAGAAGTTATATCCAGTATTTAGTTATTTTTAATATCCCCTTCTCATAAATGTAAGTGCCTGATGCCGTAATCGGTCTCGCATGTGATAAGCAGGGATCGGAATAGGTAGAGCTTTTTTACCTATACTTCGAGGAACGTAGACAGAAAATGGAAACTGCCTTACGAATTTTACAGTTTTTTGGGTCCTGGACTAAATCTATATAAAAGATAGGTTTAATAACACGTCTGTAGTGATTCCGAGACTGGATCAACTAAGACTGTAACGATGGGGCACTAAAGGTATCGTCCCAAAAAAAAAATACACGTTTTATTTTTTTCCTACTAAACTATTATATTTATGGCATTTGTGATATGCCAATATTTAATTAGGACAACAGGATCTCTCGATTGGCATTTTTTTAGAGAGGAATCGTGAAAAATAATCTAATGTCCGCAATATCGCAGATCCGACCCACTGTGCGTGGCAAAATTAAGATAAATATAGTGTACCTGCCTGTCCCCAATTACGTCCATTTTTAATGTTCTTAAGTTATTTCCCGAATCCCGAGAAGGTCCAGAACCTAAAAAATATTGTCGTAAGACAGTCTCCATTTTCTGTCTATGTTCCCCGAAGTTTAGGTAAAAAAACTCTACCTATTCCGATCCCTGGAATAAGGATATTTGATTTGTACTGGATTACATGACGCACGGTCACGTGACCTTGGTATACATTGCCGCGCATTCCTTCGCCCCGCGCCATCGACATCATTGTCGATGCCCCGCGCAAACGAACCGAACAGAGGTACGATTGTGGAATGGACAGAGCATAATACGTCCATGGACAGAGCAGGGTTTTATACTTGTCAAATATTAGCGCCGCTCGCAGGTTAGTCGCCAAAAACAGAATAATAACAAAATTGTCCGAGTGTACTAATTGGTTACAAAGAAATTAAGAAAATAAGCAACAGAAAAAGAAACTTACGTCATCAAATTAGGCGTGCTGTTCGCGTCGAGAAATGGCGTAAACAAATTACTGGAGCCAGTGTGGCCATTCTCTTTTTAAATTCTACTAAAATGTAGGTACCTAGTTATTTAAAATCCTACTAAATGATAAAGGTTTTAGTTTTCATAAATTACATACATATATGCGTAATGTATTTTCATACAAAATAAATACTTATGCATTGTCTCAACTAAATTCTCTTTGATGACTTTTTAAAATCGAAAAAATAATATTCAAGACACGTAGCTTATTTAATTTCAGATTAGTGAGCCGCCAAAACATAATGTTTATCTGATTTAACATTTTTTCTTTTTTCTTTTTTGATACCCAAGTGACGGGACGAATAAGTCGTGGGCCGGATAGAAAGCGACACGCCTGTCCATAACAGTCCATGACGTCTTTGTTTCATATACAATTTGTCAATAACATTGAAAGCCCTATTAGCTTATATCTTGGAAAATACTATTTGAGTAACATTAGTTTCACTTTGTTGGCCACCCCGAAAGCGTCCGATGATTGTAGATGTTGTAATCCAAATAAATTGAGTTGTTTACGCTGTGAATTTGTAGGCGTACACCGCACCACACAGGCATTCAATTTCGCACTTGAACATCTATTTATAGCTTAGAATAAATCTAAAAATACAAATACAACGAGCGACGGTATAGTCACGATTTATTTTAATAATAATTGTTTGCCAATTGTTATAATTACATATTTATTATATATTATAATGATCGGATCTTCGGTTGTTCAATACAAAATTGAGAAAGTATCAAATTGCATAGCAAGGGCGTACCACAAGGTTCATTTTTTTTGGCCTATTTTAGTGTTTAGTTTATATTTAACGACCTTACCTAACCCCATGAAAGGAGATTGGTTTGTAGTTAAAATAAATTGAGTGAAGTAAACGCTACGCTGTTAGACAGACGGGACCTTGTGAGTAGATAATATTGTATTTTTAGGTATAACTTTAGATAAGCGAACCTCCCGTTTTTAGCACGGGAGACCTGGTGATAACCGGGGCGGCCGACGGCGCTGTGTTGGCGAATCTTCGGGATATTTGATGTTATGGGTAATTATCATTATTTATATATATATTTTAATATTTATTATATTTTATTAATTCATTGCACAGGATAAACACAAATTGCATTTAATAAAAGGCAAACACAAACAAAGGGTACTGCTTATTTTACAAGAAATATCTTCCTGTACACCTAAATACACAACACGATAACATTCCCAGGATTCGCACGGAGCGTTTCGCTGCCACATTTGTATGGCGAGCGCCAGCAGGGGAATTCCCTGCCCGCGGACTACGGAAACATTTGATCAATTTTATTCATTTTTATGGACAACTCACACGTGACTAAATAATTGACTATGCCATTATACATATTTTTATTCAATTAAAATATAGTTTTATTACTTCACGTGTATCCGTTTTGTCATCTGTTAACTTATTGTTACCTCTTACAGTAGGAAAATTAAAGCCTCTCTAGAAATATCATTATTAAATGTATGGGAGAGTTTAATGTTAAAATTTTAAATTTAAATTTAATGTTAAAGTTTTATTTGTTTCTATATATCGATCTATTTATTTGCTCCCCTAAAGTAACTTTGTTCAACACGTGGCTTCTAGTAGACTAGACTAGATAGAGAAGTGCTGATTTGAAATACTGTTATGTATCATTTGTATTTGTAACTACATACCAAAGCGAGTCCCAAAAAAGCGTTACTTGAAACCGGGCATTGACCCTGATAACGAGAGTTAATTTTCAAACGCCACGTCACTGACTGTGTCTTACTTTTATTGATAAAATGAGGCTATACAATTTTCGAGAAGACGACGAATGTACTCACCGAGCTAACTCCGAAGAAGCACTGCGCAGAATCACTGTTTGTTCAGGTTGAGTACCTATATATAGATGGGGTATTCCCCGGGCGTCGTTCGATGGCAGCTGGTAATGTTATTTCAGGTGGACTGGTTCGGAACGAATTCCTCAAAACACTGAAGGGAATATTTTCGCCCAGAGCTGCGCTGCGCTCGCGCCGGTGTTGCCAGCGGGAATGTAATATTTTCATCATGGAATATTAATATATTGTGTAATAGTGAAGACGGAGATAGGAAGTCTAACAATTTCAAGAAAATAACTCATTATTTAAATGGAAACAAATCAACACTAGTTGGTTGGCTAAATGGTCATATAGCGTAACGATAAATCAATATGATTAATTAATCGTCGTTGTTTTAACTTCTCTTAGTAGCAGTGGAGCTCCTTCATATGAAAGAGTTTGTCTGGACAAGTACTGCCACATTACCTGAGGAAATCACTGCGTTTCGGCTTTGAAGAGTTAGAGTGCTGGTGAAATGACAGGCACTTGGGACTTTTCAAGTTATGTCTCAGGGCGACGAGCGCAGTGGCAGTGCCCCTCAGGTCTTTGTGATTGAACGTTCCGCAGTGGCACTGCCACACTGTTATGGACAGGCGTGTCGATCACCACCAGGCGCTCGGCTTGTTCGTTCCGTTACTTGGTATCTCGGTAAAAATTATAATAGTAATCTAAGCCCAAGGATACTACATCGAAACGGTGATCGAAATAACTTCACGTAAAATCAGTGTCCAGAACAAGTGCGTCGTTTCTTCATGCCTCGCCAGCTATACCTGCTGCGTAAAACACAGTTTAGGTCTTGCATTGGGCATTGTTCGCATTTCTGGGATGCCTTGGAGAGTTTGCAGCGTCGCGCCTCACGAGTCATCGGCGATGAAGAGGTCTCATCACAGCTCGAGCCTCTACAAGTGCGTCTCTACGCACCACGTGGCATCGCCTAGCGTCTTTTATCATCCACTTGATTATTGTATTTAAGCCCAACTTAATTGTTATAGTTCCGTTTTCGGGCCCCCATTGAGCAGTAGCACAGAGCGATCAGTTCTGCGAGTCCTGAATGCCTGACTCACATTCTGTTTTACCGTACCAAAACGAGAGCACACAACACCCTACTTGAATGAAAAACGGACGGAGACGGGGAGCCGCAATATGCTTGTTACATCCAAAAGGTGGTGTGGAGTCAAACCCGCAAAACCTTTTTGAAAAACTCACGTGAATTTTTGAATTGAATTTTTGGCTACACCTAAACCCAAAACAGTACGATGTAGGGGCTGTTTCAAGTATTATGCAGCAGGTGTCTGGAGTGGATTACCTTCACCGCCAAGGAGTAAAATGAGCGTTAATCGCTTTAAAACAAAATACAAATCGGCTTTATTGCGACGACAACCGGCTGTAGAAAACCTGAAACATGCGTACTGTAAAACCTTAAAAATAGTACACTACTTTTGACATGAAATCCATTAATCCCAACTTTAGTTTGTTTAATGAAGCATTTCCATTTGAAGCACCATTGTTATCAAATGAAGCAAAGGACACAACACTCACGTTCACATACACACACACACACACACACACACACAGTTACAAACATCCACTCGCACAAGAACTCCACGAACTGTTTGTATTGTTTTTTTCTTCTTAATGTTCATAAATATATGTTTTTTGTTATTGTTTCTTGATAAGTTAGACTGATATACATTATATTATTAGATTGTAAGTGAGTATCCACCAGCCCTCATTAACATCATCCCCACTCAAGATCACAGAGATTAGGGAGAGGCTAAAAAACAGCGCTGCGCGATCTCATCGCCGTGCTAGCTTAAGCGGAGTCTCTGCCGTTTGTCTCAATTTAATCGTATTTGTCTTTATTACATTTAAAAAAAAAATTGTAGAGAGACAATAAATTATATTTATTATTAGGTGTATCGACACCACACTAGGTTCCTTCACGCTTGGATTGGGTGGAGTGGACCCATCCGCCTGTCTCGTATAAAAAAAATGTTTCCCAACTACAACGAAGTTAATCTTGAGTAGATTAACTAACGACTTACGATTAGCTAACGACTAATTTGTTTCTACCATATACCACCACGGTACACATGATCCCGCCGCCTTGAACTCAGCTCGCCTGGAAGAACCGCCACAGCTTTGGTACAATACTGTATTATGGCAACACAACCTGTGACAAATAAAGTCAACTACCAGTTCTGCGAATTATAGTTATAAGTAGGCTCGTGTGCAAAAAGATTACGTGTTCCCTGGGGGATTTTGTATTATGTTTAGAAACGTTGTGCAATATTTGTATGTTTTTAGAACTTTATTTTCAGGTTTCCCTCTTGATACCTCTTGACGTTTCTATTTTTACAAGGCAAATTCGATCCTGTTTCTCTTGAAATGTCATCAATGTCAATGTTTTTCAAAAACTTTTGAAAACGCTGGTAAAAGAGCAACCGCTTCGCAAACTGGCAAGCTATTTCATTAAAAGCATTCTATTAAATTGTTGCACAATAAGGGTTCTTAAAGCTTAAAGTCGACTACCGTAAGCCTCGGCGTAAGCGACAGGCACGAGACTTTAAAAGACCTAATTATGTAATGATTGCATACAATGCTTTTTCTACAAGTGAATTAAAATAATGAAACACAAAATACTATTTCATGTATATATATTTATTTGTAAGTCAATGTGTATATATGTAATTTTCTCAAAGATGCTCGGAAATGTTTGCATTACCTTCAAAAAACGAACACGGAAAGTATGTCATTTTACGGACCGTGCGACTTCTTCCCGGTCAAGGCCTGCAATGCCCTATTCTCTAAACTTTTAATTCTACCTACTATTAATGAACTATGTAAACAGGCAAAAGAAAAACTCATACAGCCAACTGCCCAGTGTTTATAACTGCGAGAATTAACAATACCTACCAGCAGCTTGATTTTGATTGCCTCTCCCGATCGGAAACTGTGTCTCTTCCGAAGCGAGTCGAGGCGCATAACGCGATCCACAACTGGTCGATCGGAAACTTTTGACATTTCCAACCGGAACAATAGTAGATTTAACTCAAATCAGGCTCATCTTCTCGCTCGGAAACCCATCTGATTTCGGGACGACCCGATCGGTTCGATTCCGATTTGAATCAAAATCAGCATGCTGTACCACTTACTTAAAAAATAATCTCAGTACATAGTACAGTCACTCCATTCTTAATGATCGACAGTACGGGTTTCGGCCGAACCGATCAACGGGTGACGTTCTAGCGTATCTAATGCATCTCTGGGGTGAAGCTATCGACAAACAGGGCGAAACCTTAGCGATAAGTCTGGATATTGCTAAGGCCTTTGATCGGGTCTGGCACCGTGGTCTCCTCTCCAAGCTTCCGGCATATGGTCTTTCCGGCCGCCTTTGTGAGTGGATCTCCGGCTTTCTGCGCGAGCGAAGATTGCGTGTCCTTGTTGACGGAGGCACTTCGCGGCTCGTGACAGTTAAAGCTGGGGTGCCACAGGGCTCTGTGCTGTCGCCCACGCTGTTCCTTCTGCATATCAATGACTTGTTGCCTTTTGGCAACATTCATTGCTATGCAGATGATAGCACAGTGCACGGTTGCTATTATAAGCAACCGTCAAGCAGCAAGAGCAACAAAGACTATATAGAGAGCGTCATCTGTACCGCGTCGCGCAAGCTTGGCATCCTGAACAAGGTGCACCGATTTTTTACTCCAGAGCTGCGATACCTGTTGTATAAAGCTCAGGTCCGAAGCAGCATGGAGTACTATTCGCACCTTTGGGACGGCTCTGCCAAGTACTTGCTCGATGCCCTAGATGGACTGCAGCGCTACGCCTTCCGTGTTGTCAACGATCCTCATGCAACTGAGCATGCGGAGTCGTTACAGCTTCGCAGAGATATAGCGTCTCTTAGCGTATTCTATCGCCTGTACCACGGTGAGTGCTCTGAAGAGTTATTCAACCTTATCCCTTCCTCTCCTTTCCATCAGCGGACCACCCGTGCCGGACTGCGTTGCCACAGTTGGACGGTCAGTTCAATACCGTCCCGCACTAAAAAGTTTGGCAATTCGTTCTTATGCCGAACCATCAAATTGTGGAACCAACTCCCGGCGCATGTATTCCCTCCCCTCTATAACATCGGGTCCTTCAAACGTAGTGTGAAGAAGCATTTGGCCAGACCGGCAAAATGATAGTGACGGAGTGAAGATATTTGTGTTTTCCATCCGTTACTCTCATCTCTGGACTGTATTCGCACTTTCCATCAGGCGCGGTGCAGTCATTTTGCCGAGTCACAATAATAAAAAAAAAAAAAAACTAAAAAACCGACCTCAAAAGTACGTAATTGCTCCTAAAATAAAGTTAGGCTTTATTTATAAAAGTGAATCTTCATGCGTGAACAGCCACCCTTCGAGGTGGATGATTTTCTTCAAAATGAAATGGAATCACTATGGAAGTACCCCGTATCCAACAAAGAAGAATGAAGAAAAGAATCATGTAAATCGGTTCACAAATACCGGAGTTATCGCGTAACATACATACAAACAAAGAACATACAGTCGAATTGAGAACTGAGAACAAAAAGGAGGACTTTTTTGAAGTCGATTAAAAAGTAAATGGCGGCAACATTTAAAATAAAGTGTTTTGATATTGTTTTGTTGTTTCGTCTTTTTTGTATTTTGGTCGCGAAAATGAGTGCTAGTGAGAAGAGTAACAACGAAAATACAGCAATAGATACACATTCAAACACATCGTCACAAATTCAGCAGACTACTATTAATGTACCTGGAAAAACAATAACACTTTCTTTTAGCAAATGTATATATAAACATTTTGTATTGTATTTAAACAGTTCTTTTTCGTAACATGGTTACGCCTTTGTATGTACCTGTTAATAATTCCACAAACTATAGTGACGTTATTCTTTTCAGGAACATAGTGACGCGTTTAATGAGACGGCGTACTTTTTTTGAAAACGAGTACCATACACAATAGCAATTTGGTTCAGAACAAAAAGAGCGGCTTTGTGATATCGGTAAATGGTTTGTTTTAACAGATGGGTGCAGGAGTAAAAGAACTCTATTTCATTTGTGATTAATTCAGTCAGGTTTGACTACCACGCTTTGAAAGAATCGGAAAGCAGTAGGGCTTCTTATTCATCAAATGTAGAACTAGGAGGTATAGTGAGTTGACGACACGTGGTACATGAATAAAACAACAATTTCACTACTCTAGTGTTTTATTACACTTTATTGGTACCTGACCCGTAATAACGATACAAAGCAGCGCGCACTCGTGCGCTACTGCGCATGCGACTTGCTGTGCTGTATGCAAAGCCGCTTGTTTACTGGAGCGTCTTCAGGGTCGACTTCCTCACCCGAATGACATTTCATCCGGATCGACTTTTTCATCCCAATCACCAACCGGCAACGGGGGAATAACTTGGAATCCCTTCGCCGTTAAAAAACCGCGTGGAATTAACTCTCCGTCAACGTAATGTCGAAGCTCGTCCTTGGGTACTTCCGCACTATTCACAATAATCAGCTGTGCATTGTTCTTCTCACACAATTCTTTCTTGACCTGAAATTAAAAATTACAGGCACATGGGACTTGACAAATTATGTCTCAGGGTGACGGGCGCAATGGCAGTGCCCCTCGGATCTTTGCGATTTAAAGCTCTGAGTGGCACTGCAACTGTTATGGACAGGCGTGTAGTTTACCTTCGGGTGCACGACTTGTTCGTCCCGTCACTGGGTATTATAAAAAAAAAGTGCGCTCACCGCGTCTCGATATTGTTGGTAGTCCAAGTCCTCCTCGTCTCCGTGCATGACCGGCACGAACTCATAGTGCTGCCTGCCGTAGTACTCAACGGCGAGGCGCAACTCCTCGTTGTAGCAGTTCAGATGTAAATTGCACCCTGTGCAATATCAAGAAACGCCGTCCTGGAAACCTATTTATATAAATATATATATTAATTGTGCTGCGGTATCCGTGTTTTTTTGTTGTAGTTATATTTAAGATGATTATATTACATGTGTTCAGTACGACATATTTATAACTATAATTGTTTGTCAGAACTATGAAAATAAAGTAGGCATAAGTAATTATTTAGAAATGCCATAGTTAGCAGTTGGCCTTGTAACGGTCTCTGCTTTCTCATAACTGTCGCTCCATCCCAGCATTGTCACAATACCTATCTCCCCGTGTATATACTAGCTAGTACCTTGTCACTGGATTTGCTTGCGTTTTGGTAATTTTGACGAAACTTGTGGCAGTACCAGGCACCTATCGTAATAAAATAATTTTAGTACTTGGCCTCTTCAGGAACTGCGCTGGGGTTATTTTAACCCTGTCCGTGCTGTTGCCTGCCTACTGCGCGGCTGGGTCTTGCCCCACTGGACGGCTCCCTACGACGACCTGACGAGCCGGGACGTACACTGTACAAGGTTGAGGATCGGACCGAAAATGCACAGGCGAGTGCAGCTACAGTGCGTTCGCTAATCTCCACTTAACCGCCTCTAAACCACCCACGACCTTGGTTATAATTTTTAAAAGAAAAGAAAGTTTTGGGTACCTTTTTCTTTTTTAATTTTCTTGTTTAACCAAAAAAATAAATAAATTAGTTTAAACTTCTTAATTTGTCGTTTTCATTTAATTCTACTTAAATAAAACTTGACAAGCCGATAAGCAAACTTTTGAGGTCTGCTTTTTTAATAAAGGACCGTGTTCGTGCAGGCAACACCTACTGCCACCTTACCTATGTCTGTCGCCAAGCAGTAATGTGAGTGCTGGTGAAATTACAGGCACATGGACCTCGTCAACTTATGTCTCAGGGTGACGGGCGCAGCGGCAGCGCCCCACAGATGTCTGCGTCTGAAGATATGATAGTCGGCCGATTGAACTTGTGAAGAGTGGACGCGTGTCTGATTTTTAGTCAAATTTGTTTGAAAATTGTGCATATTAATTCGGTATTGGTGGATCCGTGAAAGTCGGTGCCTCCTGTTTCTTCGTGTGACGGTCTTACGGCTGTCTCCTCCTAGTGGGCGGCGGAAGCGAGAGGAATATACTTGTTGGCCTTTATGAGGTGGAGCCCTTTCACAAGTGAGTGTAATTCTATTTTATCACTCGGGTCTCGAACTCGCGGCCTCCGGATTGCAAGTCCGCATCGTCGACCATTCGACCAACGGGACGGTGATGCAGAGCTGGAAAAATACAGATCTACTGCTTTTGGATTTATATCGGCCACCTGTCGAAAATCTATAGAACTAAGTGAGCAGCCGCTGCACTGGAATAAACAAGCAGAGTTCTTACTCCGCCATCTATCGATCTTCTCAGGAACTAAGTGAACCATTGGTCGTAAATCATTGAATGCTTCTGTCTGCTGCCGGGAACATGCGAGAGATGGAGCGCAGAGTCCAATGTGGTGGATGTAGGATTGCAATTGAAACTCGTCAGTACCTAATTTGTTGTATATGTACTAAGCATTACGACCTTATATGCGTTAATGTTAGTGAGGAAAGATTTTATAACACTCTCACCGCAGAGCACAGGGCACGATGGAAGTGCCAGGAATGCAGGAGTAAAGAACCAAAGACAGACAATTCGGATACGCCAGTGCGCGGTGCTCAACAAGGTGGACTCTCCAACTCATCAGACAAAGCTGGAGGGGATTTAGGCATTGAGAACGTCACTTTTCGCAATCAACGATTAGATAGAAACCTAAACTCGCGACCACAGTCGCCTATGTTTTCTTTCGAGGAGTTTTCGGAGGAGTTAAAACAGTTCCGTGATGAAATGCGTGCTGTTCGTAGAGATATGAGTGAATTCAGGTCAGTTATGTCGGACCTGAAAGCATCCATTGAGAGTTGCAATGAGCGTATCGACGGTCTTTCGGAGCGTGTGGAAAGGCTGGAGAAGAAGCGGAATGATGGTGAAAATGTAGAATCTCTTGAGAACACAATTGCTGAGCTCAAAATGGATTTAAATGAACGTGATCAGGAGACACTGTCGAATGATGTAGAAATTGTAGGAATCTCAGAAACTAAAAATGAAGGGCCCGTTCATATAATGCTTACTGTCGCAAACAAATTAGGAATTAACATAGAGGAACGGGACATTGTAAGCGTAAGTCGGGTGGGCATAGAGAGACCTCCGGTAGAAGGCGTACCAGTCGCACGCCCCCGGCCTCTCGTTGTGCGCTTCGCACGGCGCTCACTACGCGATCATGTACTATCTGCTGCCCGCGTTCGCAGAGTGCTCTCTACTGCCGACATGGGATTGCCCGGAACACCATGTACTTTCTACATAAATGAAAGACTGACAAAATTCAACAGGCGCCTTTTTTATTTGACACGCCAAGCGTCAACAAGAGCTAAATGGAAATACGCTTGGACTCGTGAGGGAAAAATCTATGTGCGGCGGGAACACGGAGCGCCGAGGATCCGTATTCGATCTGAGCTGGACTTAAAACGAGTTTTTGAATATAAAAATGTTGGTTCACCTACGCACATATGGTAGACACTATAATAAGTTAATTACTGGATTTTTTAATAAGCGTTGCGTTTTTAATTTTTTGTTATTGCTTTTGGATGTTTTGTTACTTAATTTTGTCAATTTTATTGCTATTGCACACTATGACTACTTACACTGTACAAAAATATTTAGTTTGGATATAATGTTTGTAAAATCTATGGCTTATACTGTACAAATATTTCTTAATATTCATAGAGCGAATATCACATACAAAACAGTTCGTCCCCCTTTTTTAATATTGATAACTTTCTATCACCCTAATAATTTTTATTTGTTTTTGACTACTTTGTGGGATGACTGATAAATTACTAAAAGTAGGATTATTCAATCCAGGCTCTCTAGGGACGAACCACGATGAGCTTATTGTTGCTACTATTGAGCGATCAGTTGACATTTTAGCAATAAATGAAACTTGGTTGCGCACTAACGAAGAGGCTAAAGCTCCTAATATTACAGGATATAATTTTAGAAGCGCTCCAAGGGCTTCCAGCATTTGTGGAGGACGTGGCGGTGGCGTGGGATTTTTCGTAAAGAAAGGCTTATATGCACGAACTTGTGCGCACGCTTCTCATCATAAGGTAGAACAAATGTGGCTTAAACTTAACATAAATAACTGTAGAATTTTTATAGGAACAGCATACCGTCCACCGTGGCTGAGTGTGGATGTTTTCATTGAGTCTCTCATCGAATCCATCAACAGTTTAGCGTACTTCGATAACCTTATTTCAACGTGGATTTACTTAAACCATACTCTGCAAATGCAACTAAGCTACTAAATTTCTTGGCTGTTTTTAATCTCAAACAAGTAGTTTCTACATCGACACATTTCACTGACCGTAGTGAGAGCCTGATTGACCTTGTTTGTTCAGATGCCCATGTCCGAAGTGTGACAGCGGATGTTATAGGTAGTAAGATGGCAAACCACGCATACATAACGTGCACTTTTAGTCTTAGAAAACCTAAAATACAGCCTAAACTAGTAACTTACAGACCGCTAAAAAGGGTTAATCTTGATGAGTTTAACGCGGATGCTGCGATGGTGCCTTGGAGTCTAATCTGGTCTATGACAAATGTAAACGACATGGTAACAGCTTTCAATGACTTTTTTATTCTATTGTTTGATCACCACGCCCCAGTAAGGAAAGTTACTTTCAAACAAAAGTCTTATCCATGGATAACATATACCATTGAACGTATGATGAGACTTAGAAATGAGGCTCACATGAGATATCTGAAAACGAGAAATGACATTCATCATCAATATTACAAGGATTTGAAAAATTTAGTAAACGCGGCCCTAATAAATGAAAAATCCGCTTATTTTAAATATAACATAAACAATCAAATTCACAAACCCAAAACGCTCTGGAAAGAAATAAAGTCATATATTCTGCCGCCTAAATGTGAGATAAATTTTCCGAAAAACCTACTAAAACCTAATGATTTGAATGACTATTTCTTGGATGTGCCGGGTTCAGGTTCTGCGAGACCATCTGATCTGACTTATTTCAAAACTAACCGCTACGGTTCCGCTAGTTTCGTTCTTGATAGTGTCACGGTTGAGGATGTTTCAAAACTGATGTCCGGACTTCATTCGAACGCTTTAGGAATTGACGGTATTTCCCTCGAAATGATCAAAATGACATCCCCTCATTGTTTAAACATTATTACACTTATTGTACTTACCCCAACCTCTGGAAAATAGCTATACTCCATCCACTCCCAAAAACAGATAATCCTTGTAATTTTAAAGATCTTCGCCCCATAAGCATACTGCCGTGTATATCCAAAATACTGGAAAAGGTAGTTAGTCGACAGCTTGCAGATTTTATGGAATGCCAATCTATTGTGCCAGATAAACAGTCAGGTTTTCGAAAGGGACACAGTACCTCTACAGCTTTATTGGACGTCACGTCAAGTATTCTTGAAGCACAGGACTGCGGACAAGGCACGATCTTGGTGATGCTCGATTACTCCCGGGCGTTCGACTGTATAAATATTTCGCTACTCTTAACCAAACTAGCATTTTATGGTTTTTCTGCATCAGCATTAAAGTGGTTTGACAGCTACCTCAATAACCGTTCTCAGCGAGTTGATCTTCGTAACTTGGATGGTTCGATGAACTCATCTAACTTATGCTTGGTTGATAGAGGCCTCCCTCAGGGGTCAATTTTATCCCCTCTGCTCTATATTCTTTACAGCGCTGATATAATAAGCTGTATTAAACATTGTAGCTATCAGATCTACGCGGATGATCTACAGCTGTACCTGTCTTTCGATCCTAAGAACACAATGTCTGCGGTAGAAAAAATTAACGAAGATCTAAATAGAATAGTTGAGTGGCAGTGAGCAGAAATTGTCTCGTAGTAAACCCTAGTAAATCTAAATACCTAATCATGGGTTCTGTGAATCAGATTACTAGGATAGCGAACAAACATCCCAATATTGTGATAGGAAGTGAGAGCATAGAAAGGACTAAAGCTGCAAAAAATCTTGGAGTACTTATGGACGATACCCTAAGATTTGAATCGCATATACTGGAGGTGACTCGAAACTGTTTTTTCCGGCTTAAAGTACTATATAAGATGCGTGAATTTCTTAGTGAGCAGCTCCGCATACGCCTTTGTGATTCCCTAATACTCTCTAGATTAAACTATGGTGACGTAGTGTACGGTCCGCGACTTTTGGTAAAAACGAAAAGACTAGTGCAGAGAGTGCAAAATGCATGCGCTCGATTTTGTTTTCGTGTACCACCGCGAAGTCACGTATCTCCGTTTCTGAATGAAGCTAAAACACTAAACATGTCGTCGCGAAGATACTCCCATTTAGCCACGCTTCTATTTGGAGTGATAAAAAGCAAAAAACCTTTTTACCTCCATGAACGTCTCACATGGACTAATAGACCGCGCACCTGCAGGTTTCCACTCTGCATTCCAAAACACAAAACTTCGGCATATAAAGGCAGTTTTAAATATTCCGCGGCGAAAATCTGGAACAACATACCGCCACCAATGCGTTCTTCACAATCCGTTTATGCGTTCAAATGTCAACTCAAAGAGCACATTCTAAATCTACAAAACACGTCTGGAACAATTTTATTTGTGTAATGCGCCTCAAAACACAAAATTAAAAAGAAAAAGCAGAGTGAATCTTTATTGAGACATTAGCTAAAATTTGTGTTATGTTTCCGATTTAATTATATTGTTTCATGTTTAAATTTTTATTTAACTCGCGTCCACGTTTGTTTTTATTTTATTCATATATTTTTATTTCTTTTAATCGGCATTTTCCAAAAGGGTCCACTGAAAACCAGCGCTGTGGCCCTGCCGCAGCATTAGCTGAGTTGGGTCCTTTTCAGTGCAATAATACACTTTAATACTAATTATTAATATTGTACTCCACGTGTATTGTGCTGAATAAATTACATTTCTTTCTTTCTTTCTTTCTATGAGTGGCACCGCGACTGCTGGACGCGTGTGTCACGGTATCTCAAATATAAGTTCCCAGAACGGCCGCTAGGGAAATTGAATCGTGCCAATAAAATAAACATCACCTTCTCTCCATATGTTCTCGGACTATTTCCTTTCCTGCAGTTGGTACGGATCCATTTTGTTGTGTTCTGAAAATTAAATGAAAAACAATTAGATTTTAATTTACTTCGTCATATAATAATATAGTTTCCGAAATAGTTAATAACATGCATATGTTTAAATAAAGAACCCACCTATCCTCGAGCCAACATGGTATGTTTGGTGACTTTGATGGATCCTCTTAGAGTTGTAACCGACACGTCTACTTGAGTTGGTAAGTATAATTACA